CAATCTGATCATGATGATAATAACATATCCTGGACTCCAGCAACCCTACAAGGCACTTACCTATCGCTCAATGAAAAGGCTGTCTGGTAAGTACTATGACCCTGACTTGATGAGAGGGAATTCACAGAGATGCAGAATGTGCCCAAGGGCACACACAGCTCCACGCCCGCTGCCGCCGCATCCATGCTGGCTCAGTGGCACTGGAGGAGAGCAGAACTGCCCTGCGGGTTCTGAGACCGACTTCACGGGAGTAGAAAGTCTCATCTTCCTCCCCAGGAGCGGCCAGTGGTTGCCCATTTCTGACATTACAGTCGACAGTGTGTGACCACTACCCCACCAGGGCTCGGAAGGTATGAAAAACAAAGCAAAAGAAAACCAGCAAACATGTTGCCGTTGATCTGATTAAAGTGCTAGTAATTCCCTCTCCGGCTTGAAGGCTTCCCCTCCCCCGGCAGCCTTCATCCTCTGTCTTCCTTTCCCCATCCCATGTGATTTTCAGTTAATTTCCCAATTAAGCTTTAGTACAGGCCATCCTAATCTTTTGTAAATGAGAGCTACTGCCTTCTCATAGACGTTCTTGCCTTAAGACTCTCCTCTCTCCAATCCATTCCTTCTCGCCCTAAAAATAAAGCTGGTCAAGTCACCTTCCTGCTCAACCCTTTGGTTAATTCTCTTTATCTGTGAAACATAATCCCACTTCCTTAGCTTGCTTTTGAAGAAGCCAGTCTGGAAGCCAGTCTGGCTCCAGCTACTTTTCCGTCTCCGTCTTCCCTCCTGCTGCTCTCCCCACACCACGCCCTCTTCCCACGTGGGTTGCTTCCCTGTGGCATTGAACTCACGCTCTTCTTCAAAACCATTTTATTGGGAGTTAATACAGAAATCATATCATTCCATAGTTCAATCACATCAAGAAGTATTGTACAAGTGCTGCCACAATCAGTTTCAAACGTTTCTTCCTTCCTGGACGCCTTCATATGGGCTCCCTTGTACACCACCCCCTACAGTCCCGC